TTGTAGTTACTCGGATTTCCAGTTTTCAACTTTCTCTCTCTCTCTCTCTCTCGCTCTCGCTCTCTCTCTTTCTCTCTCTCTGTCTCTCTTTCTTTTTTTCTTTCCTTTCGCCATCCGACGCGTTAATTAACCGTGACTCTTTTTAGTCGGTCGCTTACAGCCCAAAGTACCTATACCTTCTTTTCGCGCGCAAGGCGGTAAAAGTGACTCCGTTTATTGCTTCTCGGTAGCGAGAGAAACGAAAGGAAAAGGAGGAGAAAAAGGAGGAGAGAACACGTTCGAATGCCCGTATAACGAAGTATACAACACGCATGGATTAACGCCTGGTTGTTTCCATATAGGAGACGAGGAGAACGATCCGAAAATATTTCATTCGATACCGTCGTCTTATCGCTTCAAAACATACGTCTTGCTCGCTCGATAACGGCAAGTAACTAATTTATGAACGTGAAGCAATAGCTGAATGATCGGTCGATAGTAGGTAATATGTGTAAGATTTATTGGAAAAACGTAATCTCGAATCGATATGTTCGTATCTGGTACATGCTCCCTGGTCGTTCGATAGAAAGTATAAAAAAAAATCTATTAACTACATCGTGCTTTTAGCCGTAAAAATGGATATTCCGATGGGGCAGTAAAACGTTTATTGGTAAATGTTGGTTGACGCTGTAAATCAGATAACAAAAGGAATCTTTTCGGTGAAATAGGTAGGTAGGTATATCTAGATATCCTTTCGAGGTCGCTTAAAATATCAATAAAAATAAAGTCAGGACGATTCGTATGGACATTTCGTAAAGCATAGGTTATAACGGGATATAATTCAGTATAGGCGATTTATCGAGTTTAGCCATTACCCGTTATAAATAAAAGAGCAACGAGAGAAAATATATAAATACATTGGGAACGGAATATAAGTGCCGCCACATTTTCGTATCGTTCCCGTGCATTCCACATATTTTGTAGGAGCTCCAGCAACTCCTTTGATCTTTTGATTGCACGGAACGTGGAACACGTGGTAACAGGAAGAAGGTGTCTCTCCCAGTTCATGGAGATATTTACGCGCTGTCCGCGTACTCGTAAATGTCGTCGCGATCTCTCCTTTCTCTTCCTCTTTCTCTATTCTTGTTTCCACGTATAAGCAAATGACGTGGCGCTAAAAAGCAATGACGAGCTTCAAATGACGAATAATTAATTAATGCTTTGTTAAATAACGCGCAACATTTGTACTATAGGTATATTGTGTATTTACGATGTAAAAAAATTTCGTCATGTCCCTTTCTCGTTTACCGATCGTTTTTTCCTCCTCGTAATTCGAACGTTCGTTTCCGCGTGATTCGGTATGACCGACACACGAAGGTTATTTCCATGAATCAAGTTACGAATTCTCAATCTTCCGAGCGAAAGGTACTAGTTTCCTCGAGGGAAACCGCTGATTTGTGGCCTCCTCGCAAATCGATGTTGCTTTAATACTTGGAACTATAAGGCGCCATGAAAGTCGAGCTACCGAGTGGATAATAGGAAAGCTATTGAGGTTTTCAAAAACGAGCTTCCTCGCGTGCACTCATCATCGGACTTTACATATCGTGTTCTTCTTTGGAAAAACACGTTCCAATATCAACGAGTTCTATCTGTCGCCTTGGATCAACTAAACGACATTTTATTTAGTAAGCAAGTAAGACCGTAAGTAATCGTTTGAGACGAACGTCTAATCAAAATTGCATGTTATCCGTATAATATCGCTATCGAGTAAAAGTTACTGTACGATATGACCTAATATTTTAATAAATCAACAAAGTGATTGATATAGGTATAGGTGTACATATAGTATTAGTTGCAATCGGATTACAAGCTATAAGAATAATGATGAATTATCGATCACGTCCATACCGGATCGATGTCTTTTCAAAGTGCCATAGTACCAAGTATTAGATACGCTGTCTTAAAAAGGGAAAATCTCCTTATAACGTCTACAAGGTATTTATCTATGTAAATCGAAGTTCGAAAGATCATGGTACTGCTTCTCTTACATAAACTGGCGCTGGATAAGTGATGCAAGGCTAATAGTATGCGGAGGTCGATCCTCTACAACGTAATGAATGGCGATACTCGCGTGGTAAGAATTTTCTAAATCCCTCAAGCGACTTAGCTATACAAAGACTACCGCAGTGACGTATCTAGATCCTTTGCTACCAAGCGCGCTTTCAGACAGGGCAATTCCGGTAAAATGACGAATGAGCCGTAAGCGTAGTTATCGTTTATTCAGACAGAATAAGAGAAAAATAGAGAGAGAGAGAGAGAGAGAGAGAGAGAAATAGAACGAAACGTTGCTTTGGGACTTAGCCAGCTTGCCATTCATTACATTTTTTTTCTTTTATCCCTCACATTTGAAAAGTAGTGCGTGATATTACTGCTTCAACCGAAAAGTCGACTTTTTCGAATCTCCTGGTTCCTGGTTACGACGAGATTCAACTTTAAAAATACATTCTGACTTCATATAACC